AAAATGTCAGAAAGTATACAAGCTATGAAGCAGCAAAGTATCCTAATGACAATTTGAGAACCTAAGGTTACTACCATACTAGATTAGTATCTCCTATGGGAACTATATATTTACTTTAGAATAAAGCAACAGACATTCAGCAGAAAGTCTTAATTAAATTTTAATGCTCTGATTTATTTTTTTCTGTATTAACTTGCATTGCTTCAGGTTAGAATATTGACAGGGAAAAAAACAGATTTGAAAAATCCTAATAAAAGTGGATAAAGCAAGTTCTGACAGACATCTTGGACCCTATAGATTCTGTTATAATATAGGAAATTTTACTGTCATACACATAAGCAATTAAATGCAGAATTCCTCGATCCACATTGATACTCCTAGCAGCTGTTGTAAAAGTATTCACTGACACACAGATACTCCTTTCTAATCCCCCACATAAGCCTTGTAGCCACGAAGGGCTTTGTAGAGTCAGCACAAATCAATGCATCTCATTTAATTAATGCTAAAGGGGGAAATAATCTCACACTAATAAGGCAGCAGACAAACTATCCTGGACTGCTTGACTGTGCCTAAGGTCTTAACAGTAAAAGGACATGAATTAAGAAGGGTAATACGACCTATATAAAAACGCTGCATCTGTCTGCCATGCTACTATGTTTGCCTTCACTACACACACACAAACACAACCACCACTCAGCTTATGTGGGTCATGATTCATAATTGATATATGATAGACAAAAACTAAATATTGAAGAGCAAATAGCATAGTTCATAAGCATGACAGTGTCTTGCTTTGATTTTTTTGTCATGAAAATTCCAATGTACAGTTTAAAGGGACAATGAAGAGAAGCTTTCTCAATTTTTTTCACAAATGCACTGAAACAGATTGTTGGCAGATACATGTCATTATCCACAGAGCTCTAGTGTGCTAGTGATGACAGAGATAAAGCTACGAAAAACAACTGCTGATTTTCTAATGGAAAAAAACCTCTCACACTTGACTATCAAGTGAACTATACATTTTTGTATTTCTCCAGTAAAATTACCTATGTAGTACTGAAGAAAAGCAGGAACCAGAGAAAGGGCAATTTATGTGTCTTCCCTTAAGGAAAACAGGTAAACAACAGCTCAGTTACCACTTTTAGCTGACGTTACCACATCTGCTGACAACTGGCAGCTGTCAGCTCCTACCCACACTCCCCAGAACTGGAATGGCTGAAACATACCACTGGTAGAATATTTCAAATGGCTGCCAAATGGTGGTAAGGTTTTTCACCAATAAATGTAGCTCAAATTTCAAAAAAAAAAAAAATTTGAAAAGGAAAATCAAAATAGTGGGAATATACAACACTGACACCCCCCACCACCACCACCTCTCCAGATAAAAAAGAAAGTATGGAAAAAACCAAATTGCCTTGTCTTTCTGCAGCCGAAACTTAGGTCTATTTTCAGGTGTTTGGGATCTCCTGTTTTTTGTTACAGTCACTCCCATCTTTTTGAGAAACTTGTTTGCACTTGGGACTTTATGACTACACCCAAAATTTCAAAAATTATCACAAGAATCCTCTTAGCATAATTCTTAGGATCTTACTAATTATGGGTGTCCTTGTGTCACACCTGTCCTTGAGCTCCTCTGTGTCTGTGAAACTGTTAGTTAACTCTTCTCAAATTTTAAAAATGAGATGTGTCAAGCAATAAAAATAGCCCTGAAGTGTTTACCATTTGTTTTCTGAGTGAGACAATTGAATTGTGACTATAAGCACACAACATTTTGGAAAGCAAACAGCTTATGGATTTTTTGGCACTGCTGAGCAGGTCTGTCTTCTCATTCCTTCCACTCAAAACAGCATGACTTGCAACACCAACCTGTTCATGGCCTCACAGATTTACATGGAAGTATTTACATAAAACTTTTGACAGTCTTGCAATTTGAGTTTCTTGTGGCATTTTATTATATCACATAACATATTCCATGATATATTAAGAACATCAGTGTGGGTGCAGTTTGTCCCTTATGTCAGCTTTAGAGGTTGTTATCACAGCTGAAGAAGTTCAATTATCTCCATTTCCCACCTCAGGATTTCATAGCATCGGGAGATAACAAAAGTTCAAGTAAATGTTGGGTACCATACAGGAAACATCTTCTGTTAAATAATGGTCTTGATTTGTCTCCTAGTGCAAGTTAATCTGCCAAATCATATCCTATAGAAACTGCAAGTATGTGCTACACTACTTGGAAAAGAAATAATAGACCCACAAGAACTAATAGTAAAAAAAAATTTCTGAATAAAGCGGATAACATAGCAGGTAAAATAGATAAGTCTGAAAAAAACCATATAACTCTCTGGATCAGTAAAAAAATTAGTGAAAAAACCCCAGAGTTACTATTTCTGTGGGGAAATAAACAACTCTGTTAAAATTTACAAAAACAACTCAAGCAGGCTTGAATTATGAATCCTGTCATGTTCAGCTTGAAAAACCAAACACAGATTGATGGGAAGCTACAGCACTTTTATTTGCTAGCAGGTGGGGTACTATTGTGATACCACAGAAGTCCCTTGTTGATTTGGCATAATATAGCTTTTATGTTTGTTCTTAAAGAAAAAAACAAACAAACAGCACACTGAAATCTAGAGATGATGCCAAACTGAAGAACTGTCATACAACAAGGACATTAAAATAACGAGAAAAGCATCATAAATACTGGAAGATATAAAATAAGATTTAACTGGCAAAACAGTAGTTTATACATGTTGAGAAAAATAAAACAAACCATCAGAATGCAGCTCATGAATACAAAGCAGATATCCAGAAAATACAGCAAATATATTCTGAAAAATCTGTATCATTTGCTCTAGCCCCACTGTATTTGCAAAAGTATGCTAAACCTGTAAAAATGCTGAAGGCAGACAATAAATTAGGTAAGCTTTAGGTAAGCCTATACCATGTGTATATACAACACCTATCAATACTGAAGAGCTACTGGAAAGGAAAGCATAATTTTAGTGACATATTCCTTAGCATCAGTTTAATTCCTTACCATCAAAGTCATGTTAGATACTTCATTCCCTGTACACCTGAAATCCTGCCAAACAATTTTAGGAAAGTGCAAGGAATACAGGAATAATTCAATAGCAATTCCAGCCGTCATCTGCTCACACACTACACCATGGACCAAGTTAACTATATTCTCTCTCCCTCAAATAGAACTGATTAGAAAACACATATGGGGAGTGGGTGGGGTTGAGTGGTAGAATATCAAGGCACCAGGCACCTGAATGGACTGATCTAGAGAGAAAAGAAAACAACACCTAAAAACAAAGGATTCAGGCTTCCCAAACTACAATAAATGCTATAATGACTGGCAAACACTTCCAGTTTGCAAAAAGATTTAAAAGTGACTTCAAACTTCCAGTATGAAAAATGGGATGGAACTGCAGAAAGAAAAAACCAAATAAAGCGCAATGCTATATTATGCTTTGGGAAGGATGCCTGCAAGTGTTAATAACATGTAAACAGTAGCCCTGGCTATAGTAGGTATAACAATAATACACTGTTAGTAGATTTTCCACTGGATTATTATTATTTATTGTGGTCACTGTGAGTGTAGGCAACATTCACTGGTAAAATCTATTAGATTGGAAATTGCTATCATGAAGAGTTATGTCAGGGTAAAATAAGATGGTTGAGAATATCAGGTTTTATTCTTTTTTATTCCTCATATCTCTTTGATTCTTCTAATGGAATTCCATCTCAACATGAACTACTAGGGTTTGAAAGCAGCTACATCCATGCTTCTTCTATGCAAAGAAAGATATCCTACATTTTTTTTGCAAGTTACTTCAAACAGCACCTTACCTACCACATACAACAGCTACAATTTTCTCTTGGACAGACAGATAGCCTCTTTCCTCATGTGCCTTCCCTTGGCTGTTGACACAAAAGCTGACAGTCCCCATTCTTCAAGTCAAAGAAAACTGACTGGCAGTGGGCCATCAGTCCCTCTAGTTTACCACAGACTGCAGTTCTTTTATAATTTTCCACTTTTCAAATGTTTCTCTGAACTTAATGCTTTAAGAATATGAATTTCTAACATAGTGTCAAATATAGTTCAAAAAACATCAGCAAAGAAATAGGAAAAAGTTTCTGTTCTCTATTTCATAATGGTGCCTTCTGAAAAAATCAGATTATTCCACAACTGTTTTTTGACTGTTCCCTGCCAGCTTTCTGAGGAGCTTTCTAATTCCCTCAGGACAACTACACAGCCCAGACAGATCTGTGCTCACACAACGGCTGGTCATTAGAGGCAGCTGCAACTTTTGGTACTACAAAGATGGCAAACAGTCTTGGTCAGGCTAAGCAAGCATAGCATATCCTCCTTAGACTGCACAGAAGAAAAAAACTAAATCTTTGCCGGCCTCAACCCAGAGCAAATAGCTGAGAACAGAATTAAAGGACATTCTCAGAGTAAAAAAAAGGTTTTCTGTTCCATGAGAATTTAGTATTTAGACTTTGTCATTCAGATGTATTTAAACAAACTTATTTTTCAGTATGAGTTATCTACAGAAAAAGATGATTTTCAATAAAAATAAACATGGGAGAAAATTCTCCACAAAAGTACCTTCCAGCTCCACTTTGATGAGTTAAGCTGAATGCTCATTTTTCCACTGAATAACAAAGATATGCTAACAGCTTAGTTTGATACATTGAGATTCTAATTTATCATAGCTGTAAACAGGAATTAATACTGTAAATTAAAATCTCCTTATTTGATCCAATTTCTTTGATTAGCTTTTTTAAATTTATCAAAGTAAAAAATGAAATTTCTGTTATCTTAATTTAACACTAGAAAGTAGAATACATATACAAATTAAACGTACATTGACCTTTTATGACACTAGCATCCATCTTTTCATACCAATTGCTCAGATACAATTTTGCACCACAAGCAGGAAAAAAAATGCACACAAAAACTCTCAGTGATGTCAGTTAGCACATTTCTGGTTCACTGAAAACCAGAAAGTGCCAGTTTGGATCTTAATGCTACAGATGCATCTTCTTTAGGAAGAAACACTGTTCCTGCCTGGAACAATGTAAATACAAAGAATACGAAGTCTTTATCCATCCTAGTTGAACACATGACAGATTTACACAGAGAAAGTGTTGTGTGCTGGTGAACTCCGGTCAATACTTGTTAAGGTGCTGAAGAGCAAATGGTGGAGATAAGGCTATTTAAGGAGATTAAAGCTCTCTAAAGAATACGTGGAAATAATTTCAGCCTTTCCAAAATAGTCCTGTGTCTGTTGATTTTTTGAGGATGAGCCTTCTAAATGGCTTTATTCTAAAATTTCTAGGTACCATTATCAGGAAAAATAACAAGATTATGCTTCTATCTATTAAAACACCTAGTTAGTAACTTACTTTTGCAGTGTAGCAATCAGTAACAATTAAGTTTACTATTTTACAAGTCAGAAAAATGTGTTAAGATATATCAGAATAAAATGCAACCTAAGCAACAAATACTAATCTGCTAATTCTTCTTGTATACATATTATGTTAAATTAAGTAAAGCACATAAGTAATCAGGTGAAAGAAAAAATGTTTCTAAATACCGTGACTGTTGCACCGTGATGTTTCCACAAGTCGATTGTTTTGGTCATAGCATGCCATGGCCTGGTAACGATAGCCTTGTCCACATTCCTTAATATCTCCTTGTACCTTCATTCCCAGCAATACTTCCATCTTACCCTCTGGTAAAATACAGTCTGACCAATTTCCCACAGGCTGAGCACTGTACTTGTCACATGGACAAAATTGATTCTCAATCAGAGGATACAACTGAGAATTTCTGCATTTATCCTTTTTCTTACTTTTTCCTGGAAAGAAGAAATAGTTATTTTAGCAAGTTTGTATCAGGTTACAGTTTATCTCCCCCTGTAATAAGGGGCAGATAAACTGTAAACTTGTTACTTCTGTAACAAGTGCTTGCCAATCACATACATATGCCTAAAACTAGTTACATTAATCTTTATTCATTTAGGTTATTGACTTGAATTTCTAAAGTAGTGGATATCTACAATTTTCAGAAATGCAATGTCTTTTTTTTTTAAAAAAGACATAATTTATAGTTACTTTGGATAAAAATGCTTAAGGAGTATAGTTTGAAAAAGTTAGCAATTAAATAAATATAACCTTTTCCCCCTATTTCATCATCAGGGTGTCGCTCAATAACAAGATTTCTGTCTGGATCATGTTTTCTCAAGTGGACAGAAATTGCAGAAGTAACATGCATCTTTGCTACAGTAGTATCTTCTTTCAAATTGTCAAAATTCTTTAATTTAATCATCTGTTATAGTACATTTGTTAAAAAATACCATCCTTCCCCTCTAATAAAATAAGCTCCTTCTCTGAATTTGTTTCTATTCAATTCTCTTCTTGTATTCTTTCCTTAACTGGATAGCCATCTACTCAACTTTCACTTCCTATTAAATATATTTTTAATCTTCTCTTTGGTAATGTTTGCTCAGTTTTCCTTCCCATACCAGACAGCTCATATAAATTAATGTAGTAGTTTTTGCAAAAGTAGATTTAAAAAGGCTTGTTACCTAGATACTAGTGTAAATTAATATTCTGTAGTATTTTCCTCGCTGTTCAAAGCAAGGCACTGGACACAACTTTGCAGCATCCTTAATGCTTGTAACTACTACTGCTTTCATTTAGAACAGGAAAAAGGTACCTGAAGAAAAGTTTGTCATTCTTTTTATAGCACAACTTCTTACTAAACAGACACTTCTCTTTCTCCTCATTTTCACTGTAAATAATTATGAATTTATTCTAAGTCATGCTTTATGTGCTAGCCTGGGTAGCACATTGCTACAGAGATTACACCACAGCACATATCACAGTCTTAGCAAGTTTGAAGGGCTAACTTAACTATGGAGTGGAAATATCACAAAGTGCTAATAATGTGGTAAGAGAATCTGTTCCTTCTTGTTTTGTTTTTAAAATAAAAACAAAAACATTGTTTGCCAGGGCTGCTTTTTTTTTTCCTTGTGGAGGGAAACCTGGCATAAAGTTTATTGGAATTATTAGACAGTCACAGTGAGGCTTCTTGAAGATCATGAATTATTCATTTTCCACTGGTCTGACTTACAGAGGGATGGAGTCAGGGATAGGGTTTGGATCCCATCACATTCTTTCTGAAGCTGCTAATGGGCACCCCCCTTAGCTAGCTTTCCTCTGCCACGGACGATACGACTAATTGGCAAAGAGTGCTGTGACAGAGGCCAAGTCTCACTCTTGAGGTTTCAATTATAATTTAGAAGCAGAGCATTTCTTTTTCTCTTCATCCCATGTAGAAGAAATAATAATTAAAAATATATGAAAAAGTAGTTGAAGGAAAATATGTTTCAAAGTAGAAGGGTGTCGATCATGTGGAACAAAGTAAAATTTGTGACAAGGGTTTGGACATCACCGGAAAACCTTTCATTCTGTTAACTAAAATGTCAAGAGATTTCATGGAACAGAAAGTAGGAGCATTATTACTTGTGTCAAGAAATAAGGCAGAAAATTAAGCAATGTATTGCCTCATGTGGCATTCCATGCTGCTGGATGTAGACAATGGAACAATGGCGAATGAAAGAACTTGGAGAGCAAACAGTCAGCCAGGGAAAGGGCTGGTTTAATCATAAATCTGACATTCAAGGCTTGAGCCAAGAAGTTCAAAGAGGTAAACCAAAGCTAAAGGCTGAAAACGGTGATCTATAGCAAAAGGCTGAAAAGCACTCAGCTGCCACAGTAATTTTAAATACACCAAAACAGCATTCAAATGGGAACTCCTGTTTTAGCCAAAACCAGATGTGTAAAGAGAAAGGCAAGTGGCTAACATCTGATCCTGTTCAGGTGAGATGATTTTTGATGGGTCTGTTAAAAAAAAATAAAGAAAAGTATATATAACTACTATGTGAGTCATATTTAGTAGAAACCTTGGGATCCTGTGTTCTCTCATCTTCTTTCTAGCCCCTTATCCATGATCAAGAGTCTCTGACATATGGCAGGAGTTTTTTCTCCTGGGTGTTGTTCCATCAACAGCATATAAAGCATGATACTGGATCTGCTTTCTGACACTATGACAAATGGTTGTCATAAGAGAAACTCAGAAGTCCTAGGGTTTTAAGCAAAACAGTAGCAATAATTAACAAAAGATGCATTATTTGCTGGTTACACTTACCAACAAGAGTGCGCTTTCTTGTCCTGACTCCTCCACAGTCCCCATTACAGGGAGAAAATTTTGACCAGTTCGTAAACTGACAGTCATCTTGGCAGGGAATCTGGCATGTCTGTGTTAAGGATGGTAATGGGCCAGAGTATTTAAGGCACTCACTGACGTCAGCTTGTCCTCCGTCTTGTCTGCGACAAGTAATTGCTGGAAGCAAAAAGAGATGGAGTTTAATTCAGCATATTTTTATGAATCTCTCTATTCAATTTAGTAAAGTTTACAATATTCTACTACAAAGCCACATTGAAAGCCCAGAATACCTACACAACTTAATGTTTGCCATCAGTTTTATCTTGAATGAATACACTTGACACTTCTGACTTTTTTTTTGAGATTTTGTTTAAATAACTGTTTGTCAGGATTTACCAGGGAAAACAAATAATCTTGCAGACAACTGTAACTATCATGCACCATGTTATCCACACCTGTTATACCACTCTACACATTATCATTTTTCCTACACACACAGCCTATATCTCAGACTTGCAATACCATTTTAAGTAGCTGAATTATGTATAAGCTGTAAACTTTTATCAGGAGAATGTATTTTAGAAAAGGGGATAGACACAAAATGTAGAAGCATATTTGAGTTCTGGATACCACTTAACCACTCACAACAGTTTTGATGCCTGATGTTCTTTAGCAATTTTTGGTCTTGAAAAAGGGTTAAAGAACAAAGCATGTGTTCTAGGGGTGGAGAATTAGCCAATAGGGATACAACTTCTTAGAACAGGGTAGTCATGTTCTGAATAAAAGCTTCTTAATAAGAAAAAACCATTCCTTATGAAAACTTCAGGTCACACAAAAGGAAGCAGTTGGAACATAAGGATTTACAAAGAATACGTCTGTTTCATTAATAGAATATTTAACAATCAGAGAATGCTTAATGCTGGAAGGGATGACTGGAGGTCTCCTGAACCAAACACCCTGATCAAGCAGGGTCCCCTAGAACATGTTCCACAGGATTGTCCCCAGAAGGCTTTTGAACATCTTCAGGGAAGTAGACTCCACAAGCTCTCTGGGCAACCTGTTTCAGTGCTCAGTCACCCTCTCCTTGTGCTCAGGTGGAACTTCCTGTATTCGATTTTCTGTCCATTGCTTCTTGTCCTACTGCTTGGCGCCACTGAAAAGAACCTGGCTCCATCCTCTTGATAGTCTCCTTTCAGATTCTTATAGACATTGATATGATCCCCTTTCAGTCTTTCAAGACTTAACAGACTCAACTCCCTTAGCCTTTCCTTAAAAGGGAGATGCTTCAGACCCCTGATCATCTTCAACAGCTCCCACTGCACCCACTCCAGGATCCCATGCCTCTCTTGTACTGAGCAACCCAGAACTGGACACAATACTCCAGACATGGTCTCACTAGGCCTGAGTAGACGGGCAGGATCACCTCCCTCAACCTGCTAGCAATGCACTTCTTAATGCAGCCCAGGATACCACTGGTTTCTTGTCCACAAGAGCACACTGCTGGTTCATGGACAGCTTGTTGTTCACCAGAATCCCCAGGCACTTTTCTGCACAGCTGCTTTCCAGCAGTTCGGCCTTCAGCCTATACACAGGGCTATTCCTCCCTAGTTGCAGGACCCTGCTTTTGCCTTTGTTGAATGCCAGATCGGTCTTCTCTGCTCATCTCTCCAGCCTGTTGAGGTCCTTCTGAAGGGCTGCACAGAACTCTGGGATGCTGGGCATTCCTCTCAGTTTGTATCAGTGAATTTGCTGAGGAGGTACTCTATCCCTTCATCCAAGTCAACAATGCTCTATTATTGTCTCCTGTATAGTTTTTAAAACATTGTTACTTATCTATTACTCTATCCTGAGCCTCGGTAAACCAAACTTTATTTCTTTTCCCAAAAGAACATGCAACTTATTACACAGTAACAAGACTGGAAACTTCTAGATGTTTGTTTACACAATAGAATTATATTTATGCTCCTTGGCATCTGACAGCACACAGTAGGTGTGCCAGATGTAGATGTAGCTCAAGACTGTGAAATAATTTGGGTCACCAATTGTTGCAGTAACATTGCATCCAAATATTGTTCTGTATGAGAGAATATAACCTTTTATATTACACTCCATAATTTAAGCATAGCACTTCAATTTGGCTGACAATTGCTTTATTAGCATGTGAATAGAAAAAAAAATATGAAGTTCAATTTCTGGAGAAAAGGAGGGTTTGAATACAAAGTTTCAAAATAAACCAGAAAACCGCCTGTAGGTGGGGGAATAGAGGAGCAGGAAGCCCTCTCTTCTCTCTGGTGACCAGTGACAGGACTTGAGGGAATGGCATGAAACTCTGTTAGGGGGAGGCTTAGTCTGGATATTAGAAAAAGGTTCTTCACCCAGATGGTATCTGGGCACTGGAACAGGCTCCCCAGGGAAGCTGTCATAGCACCAAGCCTGATAGAGTTCAATAAATGTTTGGACAACGCACTCAGGCACACGATGTGATTCTTGAGGTTGTCCTGTGCAGGGCTACAATCTGGACCCGATGAACTTGTGGGTCCCTTCTAACTCAGGATATTCTATGATTCAATGCCTATTTTCTCTTGGAGGAAGAAGAAGAATAGTTGAGGAAATTTTATTGTTTAATTATTTTTATTTAGATTGCTGCAAAGTAGTCATTACAGTCTACTGATCTATGATTTCTGAGAAAGCCTTTCTTGTATGGCATTTCTAAACTAAATTTTAACCTCATGATGACTGTAGGAAGCTGGACTTGATGACCCACATGGTTCATTTCAAGCCCATGCCTACCAAAACATATCCGAAGGTCCCAAGGGAATTCCTTTTGCCATGTCTGTGGTAAGACACTGTTAAAGGAAGGATGTGTGTGTTTTTCCAGAGATGCTAAGCAAACAACTTCCCTGATCCTTGACTGCCCTTTGGAGCAGGGCTGCCAGCACTGTTTGTAATAGGCTCAGTACTGCATTAAGTTGTGCTTATTGGGGGACCAACCAGCTGTGCATTGTCTAATACAATTATTCTGTCAAATCCTATTATTATTGGTGTAGTTTACATGAGGAAACCTTTTTTTCCCCCCAGATACGATTACAGTGATTCAATAAACAAAATCAAATATCTAAAAATTGAAAATCCATACCACAACTACTTTAAGCATCTGTTAACTGTACCTTAGTTTCTGTACCTATTTCTAAGACCACACAAACACTTTGGAAAAACACAAAGTCAAACCAGCATCTCCCAACAGAAGCCTAGGCTACTGTTTTGGATTCTTGTGAGATACTCTTCTCTGCTAAGAGCTCTCATCATCTTCTCTAAGGTAAAAACATAGTTCAGTCTAGTTCTACCACATGGAAATTTATAGAGGTCAAATCTAAATCCTCTCTCTTGAGGTGTCTGCACCTTGGCATGTGCACACACCAGCAAAACTAACTGCATTATCTTCACTGCATTCTCAGGGAGATACAGGCCACCATTTTTAACAATTAAAACTATACCTAGTCAAGGGCTAAAAGATGGCCCACTGATGAGCCAATAATTTTTAATAACATTCTTCAAAAATTTAATACCTATTTTACACACTGCCACTCCTTCTAGTCCTTTGATAGGACATAAATGTTGTTCATTGAAGAACATTCTTTCTTTCTAGCTAAATTGACTTTTTCTAAAGCCAGTATTCATTCCCCCATCTTTCCTAGTTAGTAAGCATTACTCTGTGTGCAGATATCCACTCTGTCATAAATTTTTTTCAGACTCATGTTAGTACATCTAATTTACATCAAGCAGACCCAGGTGAAAAGCTCCCTTGAGGATTAGCACTTTGGTTTTATTCCAGATTAACTGTCACTTGTCCTGTAGCAATCAAAGCAGGAAAACTCTTAGTTCTTGAGACCTAAATATTTCACCTTAATAACAACACAAATTAGAGGACAGCTTGGCATACTAAATCAGTTCTTGAATCTTAATTTTCACAGTGCCTGTCCATAACTATTCATGTTGGTTCTAGTTGACAAGACTTGGATGATTCACTCTTTATTACATTTTCCTATTGTTATTCTACAGATTGAAGTATCAGTTTGAAAGGTTTATACCCCTCATGACTGTTGAAGAGTGAGTATTTTTCCATTACTTCAAGAGGGGACTTTGACAACTGTATACATTTCACTAATGCACTCTTCTGGCTAGCAAACTGCCTTGACATCTGAAATGATCTTACTGTTAGTGGTTACTTTTTCCACTCACAACCTAGTCTGGGCAAACTCATCCCTTGACTCTCTGATCAAACTTATGGTTCTTTAATTATACTCCCTAAAAGTCGCTGAGATCTATGATTAACTCTCTATACAGAGAAGTGTTTTCAACTACTATAAAGCCATGCCAGGCTAATTATTTTGCCTATACAACTACATTATATTTATTACAGACATTAGCAGTAAGTGTAAAGAGCATGGCTCCACTTTTACTGATTTAAACCCAAGTAATTATTAAGTGAAAACATAAAACAGGAGTACAGCTAAAAGAAAAATCAAATTTAACATGGAAGCCATTCACTTACAAAATTGCTTTGGTATTTAACAACTATTATCTCCCAGAAGAAAGGTGTGAAATAAATGGCAGTCTAAATTTTCTAGACAAGGGACTTTGATGTAATTAAAACTTTTTGGGATAGCATTGTTTCCACCAAGTCCCAACAGGGGACTACAGGCTATATATATTTCTTGTTGGCATAACAAAACACTGAGACTGTATTTTAACAAGTCATATTATGTGTAGGTTTATATAAAGACCTTTTCAGTGTTACCATCATTAGCATACTTCACTGAGATTTCACTGAGATGTGAGATTCAGTGACCCTTATACCTAAATATTACTTTATAAATGAAGGTGCTCTATGTCCTTTCTTTTACAACATGCTCGTGATACCATTTTTTTAAATTGATAAGTATTTTTAACAAAAATAATCTTTTTCAGTGCTAGAAAGCAAGAATTATTTCAGCATACTCTTCTAATAATAACCATGTTGCCTAAGAATATTTCTTTCTCTGCGGGACACAGCAGAACAGACACTGGCTCATGGCCATCCTGGGAAGCTTCATCCCATTCCCCTGTATTTCAAATAACCCTACATACACCCTATGGATGAAGAATAGCAAGAACTCAGATCTTTAATAATGGCCAAGTCCAAGTGACATCAAGTACAACTATTCACATATTTTATCTGACAGCCAGGTTACTTTAACTTCTGTTTAAATTTACAAATAACCTTCCTCTTGCTATTGCAGAATATGCTGACAGATTTCACAATTTTTAGCCCATTCCTCCTACAAAACTCTGAGGAAGATTTATGGTGGCAAGGACTGCAGGCTGTGCATCATTCTGCAAATCTCTTTTTTCAGTCACTGGGATAGCTTTTACTATGTGCATCCATTCATATACATCATGATGTGATTAGGCTATTACAGTTGGGCACTTGAGTTTCTCATCTGCTACATGTCCTCTTCACTAGTGTTGGGATGCAATCCAACAAGCCATGCTTAATTTTTCAGGAGCTACTGGCAAAACAAGCAGTTTTAGTAACTTTCCTAGGTTTTTCCATACAATTCAAAAGGGATTTGAGTTGTATTTCTAAGTTTCTTCAGAAGTCACTGAAGCTGAAGTTTACTAACACAGATTTAAGATAAAACATAACACATACCTGCCTAAGTTGTTCACAATTTCCAACTTCATTATTCTATGTCACTCAGCAGACTACTGTTCTGAAGCTATCTATGTGCTAACAAATATATGCCCTAAAAATAGAAAGTAATATTTCTTTGCACACCCTAGCTGGAGCAGGTTTCTCTCACTGTTAGAGTGATAGCCCACATCCACATCAAATATTAGTAGCTTGGGTTTATTAAGCATCTACTCTCTTGTTCTGCTGTTTGGTTGGTTTTTTGTTCTTGACTTTTGTGGGAGCTAGGGGTTGGTATTTTTTATTTGCCAACACTCTGTGCTTCTCCTTCCTGGATTTCAGGTGACACATCAAGACATCTGATCAATATACTCTTGTTAATTGAGAAACAGCTCATGAAAATAAAAACAATATAAATGTTGTTGCAGTAAAATATGGCTTTTCTCTACATTTCCTTTTCTTGTTGGGTAGGGTCAAAAGGAAGTTTCAAACTCCTGCTGATGCACCCATATCATCCTCTCTTGAGAGTTTTGAACAAAAGACAGAAGTCTCAAGTTACTCCAATTCTGTAATACATTTCTGCCATGCTTATCCACTGTTAAAAAACATTGTATCAGTGATACAACTTCAGATTTTCATTCATCATAGAAATTCAAAACAATTTTCAGGACTACCTGCCTTGTTCAAATAAAGTTCATGACTACAACAATGAATTTGCTGCTCAGGTATTGAATGCTATGTTACTATGCTTAGGATTAGATATAAATACTTGCCAATCATTTGCATGAATAGCTAACAAACATTTCTCTTATAAAAAGAGTAAAGAAAATATTTTATAAAAACAAAACCCAGAAGTCACCAACCCCTTTTATTCTCTTTCATCTGCATTGACCCAAGTTACAGGTTTGTGACATTCATTTAAACTGACATGATTTGTAAGAAAACCTTCATTACACAAGACAGATAGAAACAGAGCTGTCTTTAACAATGAATCACATTTCTAAACTTTATGATTCACTCAAGTATCTCTTCTGCCAAGGAAGACCAAATGTGATAAAAAAGCTGAAGAATGGAAATGCAAATAGTAAAACTGTGATATAAAGCAAGGCATGCATATACTCTAGTTACTCACAGACTCATAAGATCAGACACCTGAGTACACCGATAGAGTAATTTTTAATGATTTCTAACTTCTAGTTTTTCCTTCAGATTTAATTATCTTTCTAATTATAATATTAACAGACTATTTTGTTCAAAATAAACTGCTAATTAATGCATGGTCAGATGTGCCTTTTCCCTGGTGTACATTCCTATTCTTTCTTATTTAACACATTTGCTGATACATTATGTGTTACGGTGTTTGTGCGTGGGTAATCAGACCAGAAATAGGACAAGCAGATAGCATTGGCAACATCCCCTTGCACTGAAAAAGGGGAACTGAGAACTCTTCCCACATACAAGAATGCAATTACTTGCTCTACTGAGTATTAACACAAAATGAAAGGACAATCCACAGGAAACCAAAGGGCAGAGATTACTTCTATAAGATTATCGGTACACTTTGTCATCGAAAGTAAATTAGTACAAACAGATGAATGAATGTGTGATTTCTGCATTTGTGATTACTAGAAATTTGAAAGAGAACTCTTTCTCAATTGAAAATTAAATGCTGCTAGGTCAACGACTTTCACAGCATGGTCAACATTTGTACAGCAGTCACCAAGAAACAGTTAAATGTACTGTTCAAAATAGCTGTGTTCCAGCAGCAATTATAAATCCCTTATCAGAATGTTATACACAATGGATTTCATATTTCAGTGTTCAGCATTCACTATAAACTTTGGTTGCCCAACTTAACTTCCTCTGTGAATTCTATAGTAAAATTTCTACACAGGATAGACTTAGCAAAAAGCAGGAGCAAACACAAATCTTTACAACAGTTTATCTCAGAAACACTCAGAGAACTCTATCAAAACCACCTGCTTTCTTCAGGCTTAGCTGCTCCTGGGGTTTCTAATTAATGATTGCTCACCCTTCCACTTGAACACATTACACTAGAGAGCTACTTCCATTACGTATGTTGTAGGAATGAGATTACTGCTTGAATACATCATCTTTCACAAGATTAAACTCTGTGCAGCAGCAAAGGGAAATTCTGCCAGTCTGTTTTACCAGACCTGAAAACTGCATGCCCAGTAATTCCAAAAGCATGTATTATTCCATATGTGTGTGTCCTGCACATGATTTGACTTACATAAAAACCCCAAAAAGCTCTCATGACACACAAGAATAATAAAACCAAATTAGCATGCACTTCAGTTAGTTACCTTTCTTTTACTAACTGACTTTGAGGCAGTCAAGAGATTTAGGTACTCCCATGCAAGTACAGAAGACAACATTTTGTACTCTCTGAACTCCTACCGTCAAAGACAGAAATCTTATTTTCTCAGTGTGTAATCTGAATGTATCCTCCACAGCTGCTAGGGATAGATTGCATTTTGATAGACCTTCAAAATAATTACCACAGTCAGAAGTCTTTTGTATTAGCAGGCAATGCCTCCAGGTTTCATTTTGTGGTAAGCCCTAAATTGATCTCCTGTAACACTTTCTGAGTAAGTGGTAGGAGCTACTAGCTTAAGATTTACTCCATGACTTTTTAAAGTATACCATAACATCCTTTAATACTGCAAGGAAGTTAATGACCTGAACATTTCACTTCTGCAGTTAGCAGTG